ATATGTATATAATAAAATAGGGACTACTGTAATGGCATATTTTATACATAGCTACTATAGATTGAAAGAAAAAAAACAACAAAACAATTAATTTCATTGTGAAACAGGAAATTATTTAGGAAAACTATTTATTTGTCTGTCTGTCTTACCTCTGACATACAGGTTTGCTGGGGTGGAATAGCGCGTCCCGTCACTGTTGGTGGCAACACACTCATACTTCCCCTGGTCAGACTCCTCACTCATCTCTATCTGGAGGGCACCTGGACGGATGGAGCGATGGAGAGAAGAAGCAGAGGACAGGAAGACAAGGAGGAGTCACAGATGGAGAGGGGAGAAGCAGCAATTACACAGAAGTGGAAGATAACTGGATATCATCATTAACAAATGTACTAACATATAAATGGCTTAAATAAAAATAAAAAAATGACACTGAGAGAGATTTAAGCAAAAGGAAAATGGTACAATTTTTTGAGGCTACAAAAGAAGCCAAATCCAACACGTTTCTATAAAAGCTGGCAAGAATCTGCCCCAAACAAGGGCCACCTTCCTGCTTTAGATATGAAAAGATAACAAAATACAAAAAAGAGATACAAAGCCCACAAAAAACAGAAAGTGCTGACCTCATGCAAGACAGACACACACGAACAAAGTAGCCAAAATATGAAAAAAATCCAGTCACAAATACAGTTTTTAAAAAAGCCTTTGCTGAAAATGGAGACGTAGTTATATTAAAGAGCAAACCAGTTTTCAAAGGTAAGATGTGACAAAGGTATTGCCATGGCAAGAAGATATATCAACAATTCTTGCAGATCCACCAGTGGGATCAGGAGTGTGATGTCAGTTTTAAACACACCCATTTGGAAGGTGAGGACATTACTTGAGCCCCATCAAGGCCAACAGATTAAAAAAAAAAAAAAGAACGACATACGCAAAGCCTCGGGAAGGGACTGATGCTTTCTCGCTCCCTGAAAATAGAAAAACTGTCAAAAAAGTCAACCAGAGGTTCTTTAAAGATGGCGTGGTAAGGCAAAAAAAAGCGCCCAGAAAAAACTTTATCAAAAAAGTGGTTGCTTGGGGCTTTTTATTGATTATGAAGGAGAAGAGAAAAAAAGAGAGAAAGTGATGGTAAAAAGCCATGACGATGTGTGTGTGTTTGCAGGTTGATTTTGTGAGAGTATGAGCACACTAGTGTTGTGTGTCTTGGCCATCTGGACTATTCAGGCTGAGTGAGTAACAGCTGGGAGGGAAAACAAAACTGGGACGTTTGATTGGGCAAATACAGATAAGGTAGAGGGGGAGAGGCTGGGTCAAGTTCAGGTCATGACCCTCACAATAATAAAAAAACAAGAAAAAATGGAGACAAAATTGGATAAAAACCAAAACAAAGTAAAATAAATGTAAAGATGCTTTACATCAACTTAAAGCAACAAAGAAATAAACCCAAGTTTTGAACACACTGCTTCAAACTGGAAACAAATCGGATGTGAAACCTTTGATGATTTTTAACCCATTCCCAGTCCGTGAAAATTTGCCTAAAGCCTCGCCTGCACTACTCTGGATGTTTCCCTCCATTTTACAAAAAGACTTTGTTCAGATGAGAAGCCAACTTCAAGCGACAAGCGGCTCCCAGTGAAATCCCAGTTTATGTTAGTTTTGGGGTCGGCTCCGAGCCCGACTCCGCTCACATTTAGCGTGTGAACTATAGCCAAACCAAACTTATGAGCATCGTGCATCTGTTGCTCGGTGTATTGTTTTGCACTATTAGTGACTAGCGTATATCTTAGATATTTTAGCGTACTGTTGGGCGTTCGTTTAGTGTATATCTTAGTTTATAGCTTAGATCCTTATTTATTGTTTCTTTTTACACTGTATATTTTTGGTACTTTTGTATGTAAATGGGACCCTGTGTACACAATTTCGTTCCACCTCATGTACCACACGTGATGCAAATGACAAGAACCTCGACTTGAAACATTAGATCCAAAATGCTGAAATACCCATGCCCCACCACAAGGGGGAGCGAACATCAATAATACTGAAATATGAAAATACCAGAAAGAAAGTTAAGCTCGTTTACCATTCCTTCTCAGGTAAGAACTTTTCTGATGCCCATCTAAAATTTTAACAGGATCAGAACATAAAGTGACACCGACATCGAAAACACCCAGTAAAAATGGTTCATGTCTGTTCTGTATTTTAGTGCAGAATACATTTGAGAACAAGCACAAAATTAGCTGCTAATCATCAATAATCAAAAGCTCAATTTGTCAAATCTATGGAGGCACTAAAGACTGAGTTTTGAAAAATATTAACTTTGGAAACGTATGCTTATTTTTTATGACAAAAGAACCATTTGCATTATGACAAGAGGCACAAATGCAACACAAAATGTCCATTTAATCATCCGAAGTCATGTAGATGGGCCTAAAATGCATCAGATTATTCAGGTTTTAAATAACCTTTCTGCTTATTTTTTTTAAAGCAAATATTTCTCCCCTCTAACATTTAAATTACTCTAGGTGCTACCTAGACCCTGGACTGAACAAGAGACATTTGAATAAATACTGTTTTTTTATTTCATGAATATTGGTCCCGAACAGAACCGAGTTTACTGGACTATCTGGTGTGAAAACAACCTTAATTGATGCAACTACAATTCTAACTAATTAGCTTATTAAATACTAAGTCATGTCAAGTTTAATTACAATATCATACAAAAAGTAGTATGTTTCACTGATATATCTTTATGCATGACCAGAGGCTCTTTAAAAGTGGCTTTACATAGTCTGATAAGTCAACAATTTGTAGCATATGCACCCATTTATGGAATATACAGCAAGATTTTGTAAAGAAAACAAACAGCTGATAGCCTGCAGGTGAGTGGTAGGAATGGAAAGGGGTTTCAAATCAACAAATACAAAAAAAACAAAAGCACATCATAGATTTATGAGGGAAGTAACAATGGACACGCGTTATAGAATAAATGTTGAGATGAAAAAACATAAGGATGAAATATGAGAGGAGGGTAGGTGAAAGCTATAGTATAATGAAGTTTTTGCTTAACTCCAATTCCTCCTCTTGCACCTACAGCACATCTGAAGCTGTTGGATGAGTGTTATCAGTACAGAAAAGTCCTGTATTAATAAACCCATCGAAAACAGCCTGTCAGATCTGCGAGACAAGTAGGCGGCAGAGGTTGAAAAGGAGTCAGGCCACTGTGAAAAGTTGGTCCTCCCAGCAGTCTTACCTCGTATGGGCGTGCCACCTGAGTGAGCAATGAATGCACGAGATTAGAGAAGGAGAAGAAGAAGAAAATGTTAGTACCACAAAAGGAGACTGGGATAAGGGTGGGGAGGGACTTAGGGGTAGGGACGTAACTTGTTGAGGAGTAGAATCAAATTAGAGAGGAAGACTTAAAATACAGATCCTTGGGAAAGTGAGAGAAAGTGGAGGCATAAAAGAATAAGAATAATAAATGAAGGCAGAATAAGACTGAGAAGAGAAAAGTAGATCTTAGAGTGACAGACAGATAGAGCTGCAAGGGGATTGGTTATTGATTTACTTCATTGACTTGCAGAAGGGCAAATGTGGCTCTAGGAGCCAGAAGAGGTTTCTAAGAGGTTGACTGGTGTTATGAGTTTAAAATGCACTTGTCTTCCAAATGAATCAAAACCAGGTCTAACCTCGATATGAGTTTGATGTGTAAATGTAATATTTTATCAACTTCTAGAGGAAAAAAAATCCACTCTCCAGTACTTTGTCGGGATTTTCTTCATTGTTAGACATTCTTTGCTATCCAATCTACATATTGTTCTGCACAGCTTGTGTCCAAGTTGTCGAATTTAGTCTTAGTCTGTTTCAGTTGATCTAAAATCGATCTGGGTCCCACAAGGCTCCATTCTTGGACCCCTTCTGTTCTCATTGTATCTGCTCCCCTTGGGGTCTATCCTGAGGAAACATGGTTTATCGTTTCATTGTTATGCTGGTGACCATCAGATTTATCTGCCCTTAAAACCCAACAGCTCCAGCTCCATTCATCTTCTGTTAAAATGTCTTGATGACATCAAGTCAGAGATAGCGTCATTTTTTAAATGTTTTAATGAAACTGAAAACTGAAGTCATTGCTCTACTTGTAAGGATGGTACTTTTCTGTGGCCCGGTTTGTGTTTGTTTCCCTTGTGCTCCCTCATTATTTCTATTAGTGCCACCTGTGTCTCGTCCCAGCTGTTTGTTATCACGTCTCGTCTTGTCCCTGTATTTAAGCCGTCCGTTCTGTCTTGTTCTTGGTCGGGTCGACTTCGTTGGGTACTCTTTGTTGGGTCTCCTGAGTCTTTCCCTGAGTCTTCCTGGTTCCTCGAGTTCCCCGTGTCTCTCGTGTCTCCTGAGTTCCCCGTGCCTCCTTCCTATGTTCATGTAAGTTTTGCTGCCCCGTCAGCTTGTTTATTTTGTACTTTCGTTTATCATTAAAATCCTATTTTTGTATTTCTGCCAAGTTGAGTCCCTGTTCTGCACTCTGGGTTCGCTCCTGACACAAATCCTGACACTACTGCTCTCCCTGATACAGTTAATCTTGACTCTCTTCAGCCTTATCTTAAGCAGTCTGTTACGAATCTTGGGATGTTTTAGACTCAGACTTTATGTTCAATAAACAGATTAACTCTGTTCTTCAAAAAAAGTCTTCCAGTTTAGGCAGATAGCTAAGCTTAAGTCCAGGTTGACCAGATCTGACCTTGATAATTTAGTCCATGCATTTGTTACAACCCGGCTGGACTACTATAACATGCTTTTTGTTGGGGTGAGTCAGGTCTCCCTTTCACATCTCCAGCTCGGCCAAATGCTGCAGCTTGGCTATTAACAGGAACTCATAGGTTTGAGCACATTTCACCGGTTTTGTCCTTCCTCCACTGGCTCCCTGTGCGTGCCAGAATTGATTTTAAAATTCTCTTTTTGACATTTAAGCGCATTAACGGCCTTGCATCCTCATACCTCTCTGACCTACTTCAACCATATGTTCCTGCTCGGGTGCTGAGATCATCTGATTTTGGTTGTACCAAAAACCAGGCTGAAGCTCAGAGGAGATCAGGCCTTTTCAGTCATGGCCCTAAACTCTGGAACAATCTGCCCCTCAACATTAGACAGGTCACTTCACTTACTGTTTTTAAATCTCTCCTGAAAATGCACCTGTATTTACTGCCATTTAACACAATATGATGTGATTTATTATCCCATTGTTTCTCACTGTGTTTGCGTTTTCTACGTTTTTATTTGTTGTTGCTTTTAATTGTATCCTGTTATTTCTTACTGATGCTGTGATTTTATTGTTAAGCACTTTGGTAACAGTATATGTTTTAAATGTGCTCTATAAATAAATTTGATTTGACTTGACTAGAAAAAAGTACTAGACAGAAACACATTTTTAACTATTAAAACTAAGACTAAGGCACACAAGCCTAAGGGTAATTTTTTAAATCGTATCTTCTATCTAATGGAAAAAGGAAAATGATCGATCAGTCTTGTAATGAAGATGGATTGCTGCTATGGTCATCTAGAAACTGTCTGACCATTGGAAAACTGCCGTTACCTGAATGGATTGCATATTTATGCTCTGCTAATCTGTCTGGTCCGGCCATTTGTTTATATATATATGAAAACTACAACTTGTGGATTCTAGCCCACAGATTACAAAACAAGTTTTACAGTTTATACAGTCTTTGGACTGACTGAGGAAGGCTTATGTGAGAAGTCTATGTCATGAAAATCAAGACATTTTATTAATTTTCTTTAAAAAAAAGTGACTTGATCTCTTCTCGACATTCAAATTTATGCCCATTTTATCCAAAGAATGCTTCTATTGGACCCATACTAAATCCAGGATGTTATCCTAGTAACTTCCCACGAAATCTTTTGAGTGTAATTAAAAATAATAATTAAAATAAAAGTTTTTTTTTAACCAAATCTAGTCAAGTGATTATACTCAAGGGACATCTGTGTTTTTCAAGTAACAAAAAACTTAACCCATCTCTAGCATATTTTTTATGGACAGTTACGTGTAAACTCTAAGGGAAGTACAAGTATAGAGTGACTGCAGCCAAACGTGCTTATTATTGTGTTGTCCATTTGTTTTCTTAACCAACTTTTTCTTTTCTGGGTCGCAGGAAGCTGGTGCCTTTCTCCAGCAGTCAATGTGGGAGAGGCAACGTACACCATGGACAGGTGACAAGTCCATCTCAGGGCCACATAGAGACAAGCTAGACAAACAAAAATCCATTCTCACTCACACCTAGGGCCAGTTTAGAGTTCCCAATAAAGCTAACATGCATGGTTTTAGTCTGAGGGAGAAAACTGGAGTACCTGGAGAAAACCCACTTGGGAACAGGGGGATCATGCAAGATCCACCCAGAAAGGCCAGGAGGAGGAAATCTTGCAACCTTCTTGTTGAGAGGTGACACCTCTAACCTCTGCTGTGTTGTACCTTCTTATTATTGTGCCTTTGCCTTAAGATAATTAATAATTTATTAGAAATTTAACAGTACTGAAAAGTGGATTCTTTTAAATGCAAATTTTTGCTAAACTTCATTACAACTACTGTATGCTTAAAATCAAATACATGTATGGCCATACCATGCCGATCTCACTATGCTCTTTAGTGAACTGGTTTAGTTAAATGTGCACACTATGCAGCACAGTTAACCACTGGTAGTCTGAAAACCTGGACACCATTGATTGATTTTGTCTCTGGCTCCACCAGAGGCATACCTATCTGCAGTCTGCCTTATTGACTGGTAACTCGATACAACAGAGTGGAGAGATTAAGTGGGTGAGTGGATGATAGAGTGAGTGGGGGAGAGAATAACTAAATAAGTGAACGAGTGGGAAAGTAAAATGGGTGAGTGCGAGGAGCAAATTATAATTCTTTGGGTGTGGAAAAGCTGCAGGTGCACAGGTGAGGGTGAGAAAGAGATATGTGTGAATGTTTGCACTTGTGTGTGTGTGTGTGTGTGTGTGTTGTAGATACCATCTGAACTTTAACCAGCATAGAGAGAAGTGCGTGTTTGCTCTGTGTAGCGCTTAGAGTCATTATTGTGTTTGACTGTTAGTAAAATGCATGCCATGCATTTTAATAACACTGCAGTAAGTGTAGAGGTGAGAAATAGCAGTAACAGTAGCAACATTAGTGAGCAGTAAGTAGAAAAGTGGACAGTGAGGGTGTGGGCCTCAGAACAGAAGCACTTACCAAAGGACTCTGTGGTTAAAAAGATACAAAGAGAAAAGAACAGCATAGACATGGCATTATAATCGGACCACTGGTTACACAGACGTGTTGAATTAGTTGAAACATTTTGAAAATGGAGTGGAACTCCACATAAATTTATTACGTATTACTTGACATTTAAAATATTCTTAATGCCAACTACAGTTACTGACAGAAGGAGTTGAGCACCCAGATGGATTTGTGGAAATGAAAAGTGTCTGCATGTGTTGGAAGATTTTGTGACCACATTCCAATGATTACATGTCAAATCAAATGAAAAATCGAGTGGGCGGTATAGGCATACTCTTGGTGCCATGTCAATAGGACGTGGCACCTCCTCTGGTCTAGGTGCAAGCAGCAGTTCAGTACAGAACAGTCTGACAACATTCATCCTCTTGTGCGGCATGTTGGTCCACAGCTGTTGTACCTGACAATTTAGACTCTGCCAGTGGATATTCAGTCAGAGTTAACGTTTGTGTTCTTTCCACACGTTCAACTGGAGGAAAGTTAGGGGACATGGCTGTCCATGAGAGGAACACAACACGACACAAGCAGTTTATAGACTGGTGTTGTTTTATTGAAAAAAAAAAAAAAAAAACGGTATCGGAATGCTGTCTCAGGTGGGGTAAGACATGAGGTCACAGGATAGGACTGATGTGGCTCCATGCCTTCAGGGTTCCATGAATGACTACCAGAGGTTACTTGAACTCACACTCTTTGGCTCTCCACATGAGTGTGTCTCTCCACAACGTTAAGAGAGTTTGTTTCCTCCCCTTGGAAGCACCATATGCACACACAATGTTAATCTGTGGTTATTCAGAACTGTGATTCATCACTTAGTATGATATGGTGTTGCTAGTCTATGCCTCCTGGTTACAACGCCAAATGCAGTCGTCTCTGCTCTGGTGTTAATAGCAACTTACACCCAGGAATGACTCCTTAGTTCACCTGATGCCAGACAAGGTGTGGGATCACAGAAGGCATTGTAAAGTGTCTGGTTGGCAGGAGCAGATCATAGGTTCTGTAATACTTGGTACACATTATGATAAACTTTCCAGAGTGTGGTCAAACAAACCCACAAGTGACCCGTATCAAGCTCCATCAAATGCTGTTAATGCATCTACGAGGCATCCTCTATGTCTGGTGACCTTTACAAACATTTGTGACTGACTGTCAGAAGCTGTGGCAACTGCTTGATTACACTATTGCTCCACTTGCGAGGCCCCTACTTTGCCCTCTGTGGCCTGCTCCAGACATGTCAGATCTTTCCAATTCAAATCCCTTACATGTCCATTGCTGGTCAGCTTGTGCAGCAAAATAAGTCCAAAGTGGACCATTCCTTCTGGGTGCTCAACTTTTTAGTAATGTTTTGTAATCATATTAAATATTTAACAACATTTCAAATATTTAACATTTAAAATGGGAACATATGTTTGTTTTGCAGTTAAAAAAAAGATTAAAGTATTGCGGGCCAAGCTAAATGATAATAAAACTGAAGAGGGACAGAAACAAAGAGGTCATTATATCCATAATGAAACAAGAAAGTTGGGTCTGCGATTACAAGAATAATGGGTTTGGGACACAAAGTTGATCCCTGGAAGCAAAGGGAGGATAGAGCAGAAAGGGGGCTTTAAAACAAGTTGGGACTGTACGCACTACTGTGGCCATGAAAAACAATGGACTGAAAGACCGGGAGTCACTTTCAGGAAAATTAGTTGGTTTAACACATTTTGTCAATGTATTTCCTTTAAACCCAGAAAACAAATTTCAAGAAGTTAGTTTTACATCCAAGCAGACACATTTTGTAATAAATAAGGAAAAATGAAAGATTATTTGAGTGTTTAGTCACAGCAGTGAGCTACTTCAATAAGGGCATTCCTTAAGTGCATACCAACATCACTTGGTTTTAGTGTAACATGACCAAAGAGGAAATATTGGAAATTTAACTAGAGAAATACTGAAAACTCATGTTTCTTAGATACATTTCATGAACTCATTAGTGAAAGATGTAACACTTTGTGATGGTGATATACACAGGAAGTCCTCAGAGAGTCTGGAAAAAAAGTTTGGAGTTTGCTTTAAAAGTTCTTGAAGAGTTTTGAAGGGGTTGGCAATCATAAACAGCCAACTCATAAACCAAGAACAGCAGAGGAATACAGCTGAAAAACAGCCATTGACCACGACAGGAGGAGGGTGAAAGAGCATTAAGGTAAGGGGTAAAAGTGGGTAAGAATAAAAGAACAATTTGCAGGACGTATAAGTAAAAAGAATAGTCTAAGAAGACAAGACAAAGTTGGGACAAGACTGGGATAAAACATGGTGGGGGAGGCAGGATCCTGGAGGAAGAAATAAAAATATGAATTCAGGAGGGCAGGAACACAGAGCTAAAAGTAGTTTACCTGAGCGGAGCTGCTTGATTCGTCTGTTATTATTGGACGTGTTGACAGGCAGGAAATCCTTGAACCAGGTAATTTCTGGGTCAGGGTTGCCACTGGCAGCACAGAGCATGGTAGCGGTCCGGGAACGCTCCACCACTTTCAACTGGGGGCCCATATCAATGGTGGGAAACCCTGGGGGCAGTTGGTCCTCTAAGGAAAGATTAAACACAGAAATTAGATTTTGAATCTGGTAGGCCAGAGCTTCATGTCTCAGCTTTTTCATCAATCATAACTCTCCATTTTAAACAGTGACTCACAGCAATTTGGTCTTAGAGCCGTTTTAGATCAGTAGGAATAGTGTTAATATTGTTAAATGTTGAGATGAGGATACTTGTTGCAGCAAACCTACCTTTTCCCATTTCTTTCTTCCTGCTTGGCCATCACTATGTTTTCACTACTATCTTTGCTCTAGCATTGTTGTTACTATAATGTAAATTGGGTGTGGGTATCGTGGGTGGTGAGAAACCATTGGACTGGTTAGATATATTATTTATGTGCAGAATATAACATAGCACATAACTCAATATAACATTTCAGCCTGTGATTTATTGAAGCCCAGATCCTTTCCAATATTGTTATTGAGTACATTGATATTGTAATGATGCTATTTTTTTTTCATTAAAACCATGTGGAACTACAAATTAAAGTAGTCAGTTTAATCAGCTGATCATTTTGGTGGACCTTTCTCTAAACATAGCATATGCTTTACTTTTATTGGTGACTTCTTTAGAGATCAAAATGATATAACCAATAATTATAATAGAACAAGCTTCTAATTTGGGTGACATAGAATAAATTGATTTAAAGTTTGAGTGTTTCTGAAACTTTTGATACACAGAAATTTTCTTTTACAACCCTAACTAGAAGAGAAGAACCAAAAAAAAAAAAAAAAAAAAAAAAAGACAACCATATTGATGGAAGGAATGACAACTTGGTGGAACAGCAGTAATGTTGATACCCATTTGGTGAATGCAAGAGAACATGTCTCAAAACACAGCAGAAAGGATCCAGCAGCAACAAATCATGGTTTGGGCTTTCTCCTGACCGATAAAACCAATACACTGAGGCTGCAGTGGACATGGGTTCATCCAGAGGGAGTCTGGTCAACTGTCGCCTCATCAATCACTCTTGATTTCTAGATGTCAGGGTTAAAACTTGTGAAACACATCAATAAATTATCTCCTGTGTAAACAATTAAACTTGGTATGAGGTGAAATGGGATTTTTTTTTTCATGATGCTTTTTGGACCATTTATTATTAATTAAGCAAAAACTTCACAGGAACCAGTTTTTCCTTTTGAATATGCATATTTTCTGCACAGTTGCACTGTATTGCCTTCTAAAACCTACATTTATCAAGATACTGAACCACCTCCTAAACCCCAACTCCTGTGAAACTATCTACTTGAATATGAGAATGTACTCTGCACTCAAATGCCTCAATATAATAACTGTTAGTAATAACAAGTAGTAACCGAATCTCTATCAACTGGAGAACAGTTGGGTGGTCTACAAATGAAAGAAGATTTTTTAAATAGTTGAAACAGATCAAAAATTGCAAGGGTTTAAAGGAAGGATGATTGAAGAGTTCAATATTGAGGTCAAACATAATAACATTTCACTCTACTCAACCATCCCACCAAAGCTTTAGACAATGGCTGTTTGACGAAAAACTCAGTGAAAATCGATTCGCTATTCCGCCGGGAACGAGGAGCACATGATCTGCACTTTATGGAGCTCTGTCTTTTTCACACAGAGCTCTTGGGAAGTTCAGCTCTCGCATAAAATCAAATAGGGTGAGACCAATAAAGACATGTCCACTGAGACTCGCACCTTTAGGGGATGGTAAATCACATTTGAATTCAAAGACATTAGTGGCAATAAAATCAAACATGGAGAGCCATTCCACAATGAAACAGAAAATCAATGGCATTCACCTGAAAATGGAAATTTAAGAAAAAAAAAATCTGACTGCCTAAAAAGTTTAAAGATCAAAGATAGTGGAACTAAAAAAAGACACAATAAATGATCCAGGTCGGAGATAAAAAAAAGGTCCAGAGGAATTAAAAAAAACAAACAAACCCTACTTTATAACTTGGTTCAAGTCTGCAGTTTGAAACAGCAAAAACGTAAAACATCAGACCCCTGAGTCCTCAATACCAAAGTGTATAAAGACTGACACAGATAGGAAAAGTGAGATGAGCACAGAGTGAGTGTTCCTGCTTGTTTGAGCTGTGTTTGATCTATTTTTAATCCCAACACTCTCTATTTTTTATACCCAGGATCCCCTGCGACTTTATCCCTTTCCATCACACACAACCTCATTAACGGGAAATCCTAGCGCTAAACCTCACCAAGGAGATGCTAATTCTGGTAGTAGCTCATCGAACTGTAGCCGATGGGTTGTGAGACACTGGATTCAACGAGCGCACGTGTGGCCTTTTAACAGCTCCGATTTCAATCAATCTTGACGGCTGACAAATGGAAACATGGATATAATAAACTAAGAGAACATGATGAGAAGGTGTTGGTGTACGAGTGTATCTCGAAGACAGAAAAAGTGCGAAAGAAGGGCAAAAGTGCAAGCAAGAAAAAAAAGGAACAGACTGGGACAAAGAGTGACAGAAAGGTAAAATGGAGAGAACAAGAGTGAAATAGAAAGGCAAGCAGGAGGAGCACATGGGACTTTATACAGCATAACAATCCTGATTCTCTTCGCTTTCATTATGCAAACACTTACTTCAAAGCCAGCCCCTTGTAGGCAGGAATAATGCATTCTATTTCATCTACCTTGGGTGGGACGCCACTGAAAAGTGCACAGTTAGAAAGCTACTCTCTAAGAGAATACACCTCTTCCTAAAGCCACTCATTTGGACAATGAAAAGAGAAGTAAATATGCATTTGTTTGTATGAGGGTGTAACATCCTGCATGCACAGATGTGCACATGAGCCTGATGTTCATACATACAGGCTAGAAACTATGCACATGTACAAAAGTGCAAACACAAGAATGAAAAATGTCCCTGTGCAGATGTGTGAAATCCTGATTTGTGATTTATGCTTGAAAAATGCACCATGCTGAACATCTGGGACTGAAAACTCCCAACCACGATCACAATGCTTTGATTGAACGAGAGCAGAAGCATTTGATTATGAACGTATTTCACTCCTGACAGCAGAATGATAGCATGTTTCCACTCCAATATGAAGCAAAATATGCATTCATTTTCTTTAAGAGCACGATGCATTTCCAAAAATGAATGATAATTTCTCATGTCAGATCACTACACACAAGAAAAAAGTTGAAGAAATACCAATGACAGTAGAGACACACCTGTTACAGTTCTAATTCTGATTTTGAAAATGTTTCCAAAAGTTTTAAATCACAGTTATGCTATAAAGAAAAAGGTTGGACTAAACGCTACAGAACTGCAAAGTGAGTTGCAGTCAAACCTCTTTAGAAAATTCGTTTTCACTTTTTGCTGCTTCTTATCCCACTTTTGCTTCCACACTTGATTTTTAAATACTTTACATAAGCAGCATAAAAAACAAGAAAATGTGTGGTTGGTTGATTATTTCTTTGTTGTAACAATGTTTCTTAGCAAAACATCTCATAAATCTGTTTATTTCCCCTTAACTGTACCACATTTGTTAGGAAGATGCATTTATGTGTTGATCAAAAAAGTTGAATCCGTGGGTTCCACCCATGAAAAATGAGCCAATTTATATCTCTGCCAAACATCTTATTCTACTTTTAATTCTTGTTGGGTATTTATTAGATTTGATGAATAAAGCCAAAATAAACAAAGACATACTGACAACAGGGGCCCAAATAGCACGTGGATGTCAAGTTTCTGCCTCTGTCATTCTGCCACGCCCACTCTTCCCCGCAGCTCATCATCGCTCATGCACTGCGACTGTTCCTGGCCATATTTAAGAACCCCTCTCACCACTTACCTCTGCCAGATTATCAAACCCCTTTTGAAAGAAGATGTCCAGCGCTTCATCCACAGTCTTGTTTGATCCTCTCGTCACAATATCACGCCTGCCTTTTGAACCCCTGCTCTCCCTGCTCTATGTCGGCTCTTGTTTTGCCATTCTAATCTTATTGCCGACTATTCTGGCCTATCGACCTCAAACCATGGATTACCCTTTGGATTTGTTTCTGGATCTCTGACTCTCCATGCCTGACCCTGACCTCGACTCTTGGACCTCACTTTTGGATTACACTCCTGACCACATTAAACACAGCTCTCCCCTGCAGCTGCTCGTCATCCAGTGACGGTGATGTCATCTTACCCAGCTCTGACAGGTGGCTCCCACCTAATCTGCTTGAGAAGGTTAGTGGCTGTTTATCTGTTCATCAGCTCGTTCTTAGAAATAATCAGTCATAATAAACTTTTTAACCCTTCATGTTGTCTGACAATTTAACCAAATCCAAAAAACCTGAACCTTGTCAGTGGAAGAACCATACACAGCCACAACAGTCTGGCACATGCTCCTCCTCTGCATGCCCAACCTGCTCCCACAGGTGTTCAATGTGGTTGGCATTATAACTTCAGGTAGTTTATTCCATCTTCTCCACTCACAAATTCTGGAAATAATGTTTGATGAACATTGCTCTGTGGGGGCGAGACTTGTCATTTTTGAGGATTTAATTCATTGTCAGCAATTGGGGGGTACCTGAAGCCCTAAACATGAATCAATAACAGGAAAAAAAATGGTTGGGATTAGCTTTTCTTGGATGCAACCCACATAACTCCACTGCTCGACCCACAAGTATTGTACTAACATATTTGTCACCATTTAATGGGAAATAAACAGGCTCTCGCTCAAGGTGGCTGCTCTAGCTCTCCCTCCCCTGTTCCCCTTCCTCCTGCTTCACTCTCTGTGTGTCTGAAGCACCTGGTACACATTTCCAGAACAAAAATTAAGATTATGGATTTGGTAGGCTGGACATGCAACGTAATCAACAAAATCTTTTCAACAAAAAGACAGGGTCCTGGAGAACCCGCTTGTCCAGCTGAGACTCACGCTGTGGGGTACGTCATGGGTCCATGGGGAGCTTGGCAGCTGATGTGCCTCTCAGTCCTGTCTCAGGAGGACGCTGAAGAGGTTTATACATTTGGATTTATGATAGGAGGGACTCTG